AGTGATTTTTTTGCATTCTGTTTTCCTATACTTCTGACACATAATTTCCTTTATTGCTGCTTTGTTTTAATCTGTTGTCCATGTCTATTAGCTTCTTTCTGATGGCCGAAGTCAGTTTGTCTTAATCTGCAATTATTATGATTATCTCAAGCTTCACTCTTAATAGCATGATTTTAAATTTATTACGATAAAATATTTCATGCATACAAAAAGAGAGATGAGCATAAATATAAGGTATGAAGAATACTAACCAAATGAGCACATATATCCGCACAACCCTGTATAAGAATGAGACTAATCTTAACCATGTTAATATTCCTAATTGCCTCTCCCAGATTCCATGCACCCCCCCCCACTCTCAAAAGTTACTAACATCTTGAGTTTTGTGTTTAGCATAAAAACTTTAAAAGTATGATTTAGTATATCCTAATCAATATAGTTTACTTTTGAATACATTCAACCTTTTTTAATAAAAGAAATCATGCTATATATTCTTCAGCAATCTGCTTTTTCCCCCTAAAATTCAGTCTGTGAAATTAATTTATGTTAACACACGTACCTCTGGTTCTTTCTGACTGTGGAAAAGTATTCCTGGTGTGGACACACCACTATTTATTCATTTGTTTCCCTGACAATAGTTACTTCTGGCTTATTGTAAATTTTTATCTTGTAATTACCAATATTACAATAAAAACATTAGTACAGCTTATCTTTCATTTAAATGTTTATTTATTTTTGAGAGAGAGACAGAACCTCAGTGGGGGAGGGGAGGGGCAGAGAGAGAGGGAGACAGAATCCGAAGCAGGCTCCAGGATCTGAGCTGTGAGCACAGAGCCTGACGCAGGGCTTGAACTCAAGAACCGAGAGATCATGACCTGAGCTGAAGTCAGATGCTTTACCAACTGAGCCACCCAGGCATTTCTAGTACAGTTTATTTTGAATATATGTTCAAATATTCCTCTAGAATGTGTATTTTTAGCTGGTGATATTTCTGAGTTAGACAATGAGTACCTCTTCTGCTTTATCGATGCCAAGTGGTTTTCCAAAATGGCTATACGCAATTTGAATGTAATATATTTTCTTCCTGCGCATTAGTTATGTGTTATTCTGTAATAATGTTCCTTTGCTTCTTGATTTGTTTCTTTGGACCCCAAATCTCTCATTTAATACCAGTTCTATTACCTTGTCATCTTGTCTTTAAATTCCTGTCCAATTTAATCTATATTCTCTTCGATACATTTCTCTTACTTTCTCATTTGATTTGATCCTTGAGATGACATGGAGGGATCAGTGCTATTATTATTCTCATTTTATAGGTGAATAAAAGGACTTCCAAGAAACCGTGTGTCTTGACCAAAGTCTTAGAGCTACTAAGTAAGAATCTGACACGAGCACCACGTCTTTTACCTCCAAAACACTTGATTTTTCCACCTCTTTTAGACAGGGTAGAATTCAGTCCTATATTATATTCTGTAGTATAGCTTCTTTTTTTTTTTTTTTTTAACTTTTTTTAATGTTTATTTGTTTTTGAGAGACAGACAGACCGTGAGCAGGGGAGGGGCAGAGAGAGAGGGAAACAGTGTGGGCTTTCTTCTAATCACAAAATGTTAGAACTAGAAGGAGCCTTAGAGCAACTCCGGTTTTAAATTTTAATTTTGGAAGGAGAGAAACCAAAATTTATGGGGTTTAGTGACTGGCCCAAGGTCACACAGCTCTTTGGTAGTAAAGGTAGGGCTAGAATTCATTATCTTCAGATTCCTGATCTAGTGATCTTTGAATTGGTCCAAAAATATGCAGTCCCATGATGCAATGACTAACAGGCAGGCCTTTTTTGCCCACTTCATACACGTGGTATTCCCGTCTTTACCAGTGAGAATAATGAGACTCAAAATTATTTCCTGTGAATCCCAAATTGCCCTTGTGACAGCTCATACAGTCCTGTCTCCAACACCTCGTTATATCTCAGATGTTCCTGAGGGGTCAATAGTCCAGGATTATTCTCTGTAAATTCTCCATAGAGAGTAATATCAGGCTCACTTGACTGTCATCTCACACTGGTCCTTCCAGCAAAACTTAGAAAGCTCCCCTTGTAGCATTCTGGTCCGAGTTGATGAGGCAGTGTTATACACTGACTTGGGTAACGTCAGAATTTAGAAAGGACGTAAAATCTAGAAGTGGGATCCCTTGATGGCAGGCAGAGGGGCAGCGTGTATCAGAAACCTTTAAAATTTCCATAGCCTTTAAATGTGCAGGAAGCAATGGGACCTATGCTTCCCATTTAACTGCATTATTACTTGTCAAAACGTTATTGTGACAATGAAAAACATGATGTAACCCGAAGGTCCAATAATGTGGGGCTGGTTAAGTGAATCAAAGTATTTTTGAAATACCATGCATCCAGGAGAAAGGGTGTTGTAGAAAACTTGATGGAATGATGTTTCAAACAGAACTCCCTGACGGCTAGACCAGGACTGAGCTATTGATGCCCTTTGTCTCCATGAGAGCTAGTCAGGTTCTAGTACAACCTGGGCCCCCAAGTCAAATATCTCAGGCTGCCAAACAAAATACCATATGTCTTTATAAACAGAGATATACTCACATGTCTGCTGAGGGATATACTTTGCCTACACCTGGATACAGCCATGCAAATGATCTCTTTTTTTTCATGTTTTTACTCCTCTCCATTTCTCTCTTTTTTTAAATGTTTTTTTTTATTTATTTCTAAGAGAGAGAGAGCGTGAGCAGGGGAGGGTCAGAGAGAGAGGGAGACACAGAATCTGAAACAGGCTCCAGGCTCTGAGCTGACTGTCAGCATAAAGCCCAATGCAGGACTTGAATCCACGAACCGCGAGATCATGACCTGAGCCGAGGTCGGACGCTTAACCGACTGAGCCACCCAGGCGCCCCTCCATTTCTCTTTTTTTAATGCATAGTATTCTTTAACAAAAATAATATGGCAGTAATAATTTTAACACTTACATAGGCCTTAATATGCTTTATCTTGTTTAATCCTCAAGCCGGCGTGTGAAGGAGGCACTACTATTATTCTTTTTATTATATAAATGCTATTTTTAAATTCCACAGTTGAAGCTATGAGGAACCAAACAAGTTGATGCAGGCAGAACGGAAAAGGTGGAAATGAGACATTTCTGAAAGGTAGAAATAAGAAAACACAGTTACTAATTGTCTGTGGGAAGCAAGTAGGCTCCCAGGATGTTGAAGATTATTCGTGAACAAAAGAGAATCAGGGAAATACAAGATTATATAGAAGTTTTAAGAACATCTAGAGGAATGGTTAGTTTTCAAGAAGAAGCTGAGGCCGGCTCTTTGCTTGTTGATGCTGAGATGACACAGCATATTGGTGGAAATGTCCAGGTGACAGCAGAGTTCAGGTGAGACAGAGAACCTAAGTGTATAGTTGAGACACTCATGCCCAGTGGAGCTGTATTAGAGTCGTGCAAATGAGTGGGCTCTCCCGAGAAGAGAATGTTCAGAGAAGAGCAGGGCACCGAAAGCTTTAACCTTTAGGCTTTGTCTTCACGAGGGAAAACCCCATGAGCCCCATGACCTAGACTCCCACGTGTATCTTCCATGATAGAATGGAATTCCAAGTGTCCCTGTGGATCGATAAATGTAGACAGTGGGTGACATGTTCATTGTTTTTTCCCCAGATCAGAGAGTCATTTATTTCTTCCTTAAAAAAAGAGAGAGAGAGAGAGAGCTTAAGTAGGGGTGCCTGGGTGGCTCAGTCGGTTGAGTGTCCAACTTCGGCTCAGCTCAGGTCATGATCTCATGGTCCATGAGTTTGAGCCCCGCATGGGGCTCTGCATTGACAGCTCTGCACTGGAGCCTACTTCAGATTCTGTGTCTCCCTCTCTCTCTGCTCCTTACCACTCGTGCTGTCTCTCTCTCCTTCAAAAATAAATAAACATTGAAAAAAAGTTTTAGTAGAAAACACTTTTAGTAGGCTTATGGGGCATATCTTGGTAAGTAGCACCCTAGGCTTGACTTGAGGCAAAGGTTACCCTATATGAAGAAGTGGTCAGAAATGGAACAGATGCAACGGAATCATGGCAAACATATGGTATGCTGCATTCATGACAAAGGAAGGGATCAAGTTGTGAAAATACAAAATGGAAGGTGTCTGTATAAACCCAACGAGCAAAGATCTAAGGGTCTCTGGGGAGCCACAACTCCAAAAGGAATGTGCCGTCAACATTTATGCTCATGCATAGAAGATGTTTATTAGGAAATATGTTTGTCAGGCACTAGAAAGACATAAATGTAATAATGCAATTTCTTTGTCATATTTGGCATCAAGAAGAAATATATTAGAAGTAGAATAATTACAGATCTCTTCAAGGTCCCCATTTTAAGAGAAATCAAAGTTATTAAACAATCCAGAAGACATCCAAGAAAAATGAGGACATAACTGTGAAATGTGCTTCTGCAGAAAGGGCAAGAATGTGCTATTATTTATTTTTGGAATCAAAAGACCAAAGGATAATTTAATGAGCGATAGGGTCATTAATTTGTGCAAGATTATTGTAAAGTGCTCCTTGGCGCCTTTATTGCAGGTAGAATGATGGGAAAGAAGCCGAAACCATCAATAAAAAAATGATTCCCCCAACAATGAGTACACATCTATGCAGACAATACACATGCCCACACCCATGTGCACACTTACACACGTGTATGTGTGTGTAAAGAGCCCAGAGAGGAGTATACATCAAACTATTAATAGTTATTATGTGTATGTGGTACAATTAAAGATGTCTTTATTTGTGTCAGGCCTGTATCTTCTAATTTACAGTAAACATGAAATATTTGTACAATAAGAAAAACAAGTTTGTTTTTTTAAAGGGTTTATAGAAACAAGTATGTCTCTTCCCCCTCATCCCTGTCACAATGTCAACTTTAGTCTGTAAAACCTTTTTTTTTTTTTTTTTGGTAAGAGCCCATATAACAAAAGTCCTGGTGCCCCGTTTTATCCTTTTCAGATGCTGGTGAAAAATAACCACCTTTCAGACAAGATCATTGTTTTGCCAGGGAAAATTGAAGACATCTCTCTTCCTGAAGCCATCGATGTGATCGTGTCCGAACCGATGGGGTACATGCTGTTTAATGAAAGGATGTTGGAGAGTTACCTTCATTCCAAAAAGTGGCTGAAAGCAAATGGTGAGTTGGCTGATTCCTGGTTCAGAAGATAAGCTCACTTTTCCATAAAAGTTTGCCATCCTCTTCCTCCCATATTTAATTTTGGACAGAAACAAGGGGAGGGCATTTCTATTATAGCAGTTTTTACATTTTTGTCATCTTAATCTTCCATAAGAAATGAGCTAGTCTCCAACCATAAACCACAGGCAGTAATGCGCCACATAGTAGTAAATACAGTAGAGAGGACCAGTTCTGAGCTATGTATTTCTGGTCTGTTTCTGTCACTTTCTTCCTTAAGGAACTTAGCCTAACTCTTGACCTGTTGACTTTGGTTGTCTCATCTGTATATTAAAAATTACCTCTAACAGGGGCGCCTGGGTGGCTTAGTCGGTTGGGTGTCCAACTTTCGCTTAGGTCATGATCTCGCGGTTCGTGGGTTCGAGCCCCGCGTCGGGCTCTGTGCTGACTGCCAGCTCAGAGCCTGGAGCCTATTTCAGAGTCTGTATCTCCCTCTCTCTCTGACCCTCCCCTGCTTATGCTGTCTCTCTCTCTCTCTCTCTCTCTCTCCTAGAAATAAATAAAACATTAAAAAAAAATTACCTCTAAAAAAACTTTCTGGGGGCACCTGGGTGGCTCAGTCACTTAGGCATCTTCAGCTCAGGTGATGACCTCGTGGTTCATGAGCTCGAGCCCCGTGTCAGGCTCTGTGCTGACAGCTCAGAGCCTGGAACCTGCTTCAGATTCTGTGTCTCCCTCTCTGCCCCTCCCCTGTTCACACTCTGTCTCTCTCTCAAATACAAATAAATATTTAAAAAAATTTTTTTTTAATTTCTAAAGCCCATTTTAAGAGTTGGCATTTGGGGGGCACCTGGGTAGCTCAGTCAGTTGAGCATCTGACTTCAGCTCAGGTCATGATCTCATGGTTTGTGAGTTTAAGCATCACATCGGGCTCTGTACTGACAGCTCTGAACCTAGAACCTGCTTCGGATTATATGTCTCCCTCTCTCTCTGCCCCTTCCCCACTGGCACGTTGTGTCTCTCAAATAAATAAATAAATGTTTTTTAAAAATTAAAAAAAAGAGTTGCCATTCTATAATGTGAGAAACTCTCTGAAGTACGCTATTCTTTCTGACATCTTCTCCTACTGTGTCTCCCTTTCCCTGTGATCAGTACTGAGATAACAACATGAAATTCAGCATTCTTTTTGTGCTTACCAAGTATCTACCTGTGCTCAGCAATCTGCATAAACTCATTTATGAGAACCTTACCAAGTGTGAAGGATAGCGGCTTTTAATTTATTTGAAAGGTCAGTGCTGAGGTACTTGGTGATTTTACAGTCGTCCCACATGGGATGTTTGGCAACATCTGGAGGCCTTTTGTTTTGTCACAGCTACTCGCATCTGGTAGGAGAGGCCAGGTGCACTGCTCTACATCCTTCAGGATACAGGACCGCCTACCCCCTCATAAAGATCTCACCAGCCCTGAACATCAACAGTACCGAGATGGAGACGTGGCTCCCTGGGAGGCGCCATTACCGTCCCCCATTTATGAAGAGAAAATGGAAGCTCCGTGGGAGAAAACAGCGTGGCAAGGACACCACTCTATTAAATGACTGTGCAGGGGTTCGAACCCAGATCTGTCTGTCCCTGAAGCCCCACTCAGGACTCCTGCATGGACCCTGACTTTCCTCTCTTTACTGGAGATGGCAGACACACTTCCACACAATGTTTTTAAAATAGAGCCTAGAATGTAACTAGCCTGTTCTAAAAGTGGCACCTCTCGTTCAAATTGGAGCGCCTTACCAGCGCTGTGGCATCCTGCCTTGACATCCAGAGAAGACAAAATAGTGACAGCCACCAGCACAGTTCCTATTCCCCATGTTAGACAGTACGTGCACTCAAGTGTATGCCTGGTTCTTTTTAAGTTTTTGATGTTTATTTTTTGAGAGAGAGAGAGAGAGAGACAGAGCGTGAGCAGGGGAGGGGCAGAGAGAGAGGGAGACACAGAATCTGAAGCAGCTCTAGGCTCTGAGCTGTCAGCACAGAGCCTGACGTGGGGCTCGAACCCACGATCCACGAGATCATGACCTGGGCCGAAGTCAGACTCTTAACCAACTGAGCCACCGGACGCCCCCAAGAGTATGCCTATTAAGTAAAGCCTGAGGCTCCTCTGTAATTTCCTGCATGCTTCAAAATGTAGGGATTCTGAGCTAGGCACTTAAAAAAGAAACTTGTGCCAAAATAAATGAGTAAACAGGTAAAGAACACCTCCTGTCACCAACGTCATTAGCATGTGTGTTGTGTAAATGGCCCAGGAAGGTCTCATAATCTTGATGTTCACGTGACAAAACTGAACGTGGAAATGCATGGAAAGAATAGGCTGCTTGGATTTCTTACTCAGTGCTCTTCTGAAAGAATTCTTACATTTTTTTTCCTGGATTTCTTTTCACATGGCTGGGTACTTGCCACTGGTGAGATTCTGATCACAGTTAATTCACCTGCATCTGTTGAGGCCCTATAGGCAGAGTATCTAGACTTAACATCAGGGCATCCTTCCCCCCCACCCCCCAGATATTTGAAATGGGTATGACTGGGCTGTATGTCTTTAACTAGACAAGTAGAAATGAATACAGATTTTATCTTCTTTTTAACCCGTGTGTTCCTGAAGGAAGGAGGATTGGGGTTTTTTTCTAATTATTTTTATTTCCCATCAAAATATGACATAATTTACAATGTCAAATAATGATAAAAAGATGTCTAATAATATTAGTAATAGTCTAATAATAATAGTAACCCTCCGCCACACCTCTTCCTGTCCTGAGATCCCCCCACCAAAGGCTATCCCTTTCAGCTCCCTCCGCTGTTTCTCCCATGATGCATCTGCCTATTTTGATAGAGAAGTATATTTTGATGTAAAAGCATATATCTTGCTCCTTTCGTCACTCTCCGGTTGAGAAGTCCGCTCTCCTCTGTAGCCTTTTCTTCCCTGCTTAATGCAGTCTTGCTCCCCTCCACACCCCGTCTTCATCTTCTCAGTATATGTATACAGGCCCTCAATCCCTTTTCCAAACCCTTGAGGCCAGCTGTATCTCAGAATTCAGATTCTGGAGGACTGGGGAAGGGTAATACAGTCATAGTACCATGGATTGCTTAAGTCTCCAGTAGAGTCTGATGCAAGGCTCCGTAATGAAACATGTTATATTTCTGCAACAAAACACAGGAATATGGCTACCAAGATAAACGAAGACTATAAATAAACTCATGTCAGCTCAGGTCAGGGTTTGCTGTCAGATGACGTTGCAGCAAACACACAAAAATCTGTGGCTTCACAGAGCTTTTTTGGATTTCACAATTTAAAGAAATACGGACCGAGATCAGCATCTGGTGGAATCAGTAATCAATGTTTATATTATGATGACAGCGCAAACATTGTTCCGTGCCGGGTCAAGGGGGTATAGTGGGTGCATTTTGTATTTTCTCATGATATCTTGTTTTTCTTGGAGTTATATTTTCATTAGTTTGGAATTTTTTATAGACTCATGACTAATTGTTTGCATGCTCCGAGAGGTCAGACAGATCCTACCAATATGTAGTCTGTGGAAGCCTTCCTCCTACGGCTCTTCTGTCTTCCTCTCCCACATGCGCCATGCTTGTTCCCCAGTCCTCTCGCATGCCTGCCATACTTGGACAGGCCGTCATTAGTCTTCTGTCTTCTTCTTTCTTGGGGGACACCATCCTGTCAGCACAGAGTATTCCCTAACAACTTTTGGAGAAAAGGTCCTTGAGAATTTAGTTTTCATTGGCCCTTTGGATTATCGTTTTGCAGGGTAGAGAATTTGAACTTGGGCACAGTTTTTACTCAGTGTTTTAAAGACCTCTCTTTTTGGCTTCTGGTTGCCAGTATTGCTATTAAGAGGTCGCGTGACCTTCTGACTCTGATCCTTTCAAGCAACATAGTTTCCCTTCCAGATGCCTTTAATATCTTGCTTTCTCTCCAGCCTCTCTAGCTTTTTCAGCTTTCGTAATGGGCACGGAGTGAGGATGTCTAATCAGAAGACTTCTTTTCTTCAATGCTGAGGATTCTTCTTATATTTTTAATTTTGATGATCTCCCCCCCTCCATTTTTATCTTTGGAATTCCTGTTAGGCTTGAGGCTCAGAGCACCCCTAAAGTTTATACAAGTGGGGATCCATATTGCTTTTCTAAGGTTGTTGAATATCCTTCTGTCTCAAAATTGAAACCCACTGAGCAGTCATTATCATTTTTTTATGTTTATTTTTGAGAGAGAGCATGAGCAGGGGAACGGCAGAGAGAGAGAGACATGGAATCCAAAGCAGGCTCCAGGCTCTAAGCTGTCATCACAGAGCCTGGTGCAGGGCTCGAACCCACAAACTGTAAGATCATGACCTGAGCCGAAGTCAGATGCTCAACCGACTGAACCACCCAAGCACCCCCAGTCATGATTGTTTTGACACCAGTGCATGAGATTTCAGTGGAGACATGTGGATAATGTAACAGTCGTGGTTGTTTCTCTGGCCACCTCTGAAAATACCCTAAATAAAACAGTCTGTTCTATTTTCACAGATATTGACGGGAATATGGTTAAAATACAGGGCCATCGACTTACAGATGAGTCTCCATGTCTGGATTTCGCACTAATACTTATTATCTCTGTGATTGTGGCTGAGTCACTTAAATTTCCCTCTTCCTTGGTTTTCTCATTTATAAAATGAGCATACTAATATAGCCAACTTTATATTGTTACGAGAATTAAATGAATTAACACATGGAAAACCCATAAAAAAGTTCATGGCAGAGTTGACGTAATCTAGCAAATTGAGGCATTATTTTTGTAAGCGCATCTCCAGTTTCTAAGGTGATCCTCACTTCTGAAATACGGTTAGTCATTCATCTTTCTCTTATGTGCAGTTTCCTAAGTGACTGTGAAAAAAAGGGTGTCCCTACAGATGACAAGAATCATAACGCTGGTGACTGTGTCTGCCTGTCCAGAAAGGCCCAACTTGAGGCATGCCAGTCTCGGTGTTTGCCCACAAAAGAATCTGTCTTTCCCACAGTGACTGTACGTGTCAGGAACAAAATGTAAGAGTGGGTGTCCCAGCAGCGAGGTGGTGAACCTCCAGAGAAGCTGAGTTTCTCACAGCACTTAAAAAGATCCTCAGGAGGGCACTTGTGGGGATGAGCACTGGGTGTTATATGGAAACCAACCTGACAACAAACTATTTGTAAAAAAAAAAGATCCTCAACACGATTATACAGGGACGAAGTCTGAGAATGGAAATAATAATGTGAGAGGAGGCTAGAATGTAAGTTCTTTTCAAAGCTCGTTTTACAATAAATAAGATGTTTAAAGGGACAGAAGGGCAGGGAATGCGCAGCCCAAGACATATGGGGAGGAAAAAGCCAAAAGCAGAGGCAGTTCGCCGCATTCGATGCCTCACCCGATACTCCATAAATGTTGATCACAACATAGCTCTGTGACTTGCATTCATCTTCCCTTTATTTATATTTCCTCCAATCTTCTGCCGGCTTTTTTTTTTCTCCTGGCTTTGAGGCAAGATTATTTTCCAGCCTCTTGTGTAATAACTAAAATAGCATGTAAGAATATGCTGGTCAAGTGGCAGGTGCGGGGACCCTTCACTCAGAAGGCTGCGGAAGTCACCATCTGGGTCTGTTGTCTTTTGCTCTTCAGGAATGATGTTTCCGACATTCAGCGACATCCACTTGGCCCCCTTTTCTGACGAACAGCTCTACATGGAACACTACTCCAGAGCCAACTTTTGGTAATGTCCTCTTCTCTCTTCCATTCCTTTTCCCTTAGAGTAAGCCAGAGTTTGACATTTTGGATTATACAGTTGGCCAGGGGAGGGGGGCTGGAGAGGGGTGCTCTGCATCATAGGACGTTTAACAGCACCCCTGGCCTCTGCTACTGGTTGCCAGTAATGCCTTTCCCTCCTTTGTGACAACCAAAAATGTCTGTCCAGACATTGCCAGATGTCCCCAGCAGGGGCAGTGGGGCGCAGGTTCTTCCCCTGTTGAGAATCACTGGAGCAGACAAACCAGGGAGCTGCTCCGCACTCTCAGCCATCCAGAAGACCCCCTGGTGCTGGAAAGCCCGCACCCTCCCCCTGCCCGCTGGCCGTTTCTTCCCACATTCCACCCTCCACTCCCTGGGCTCAGAGCTATGGCTTCTGTTAAAACGTACCTCGCTCAGAGGGCATAGGAATCAGTACGTCTTGATGTAAATGAGTCGATCACAATATTTTTCTGGAGGTTTCACACTCGTTGGCTATTGGCTTGTGGACAGTTCGGTTCACCTGTGGAGACTCGGTTTCTTCGTTAGTAAAACAAGAACTGAAACAAAGCCCCTGCCGGTTCTAAACCAACATTCTTGCTGGCGTTCTTTTTTGAGAACTGGTTTTTATAAGGAGAAGGGGGGATGGAGAACAGTGATATTGGACCCATGGGAGAGAGAAACAGAACAGAGACCATCCGAGCGGGAATGGTGGGTGTGTAGGAGGACAGGCATGTGCTGGCAGATGGAAGCGGATAGATGCTAAAATTTAAGCTCTGAGTTCCAGCTGACGTACATAGAGCCTTCCAACACAGAGAGACCCACAGTTCATTTCCGGGTTTGTTGTTTTTTTTTTTTTTTCCTCTTTGCAATCCTATCTCTTGGTGAAGAAGCAGCAGATAGGAAGCACTTTGGTTTCCAGGTTACAGGCTCTTTGAGGAGTCGGGTCACAGGGCTGAATTTTTTTCTTTCTCTCTGATTTTTTTCTTGCAAACTAGGCTTTGCTAGCACAGATTCGCGTTTCATGGTTTCTGCCCAGTCTGCACATTTGAAGCTCCAAGCCACATGCTTCCTAATGTGGGTGAATGGCTTCTTGGAGTGTGACTGGGGAGGCCCTAATTATGATCATTGTTCTTTGAGCTCATGCCGACCCTCAATGTTTATATTTTAAATATAAGCCTCCTGAGTCGGTGAAGAGGTTGGAGAGGCAGGAATTTTGGGTAATAGAATAGACCGGACGACTGCCCCCAGTGGGGCCGTGCGGTAGCGCATTGTCTGGGTGGCGTTGTGTGGCTTCCCACCTGTACCACCTCCCGCAGTCTTCCTTCCCCGAGAATGAGTGGTAATGATCGCAGCGGATTGGCAAGGCTCACCAGCAGCATACAAACACACTGCTATTTATTCCATCTAAAGAGAAAAAAAATCACCTTTTTTATATCTCACTTCCCCAATTAGCCACCACCCATCTCTCTTAGTCCGTCTGCAGCCAGATTCCTCAAAAGGCGTGGTCTCTCCTTCCAGTCTCCAGCTCTTTCCTTCAGGTTCTCTCTTAAGACATTCCTCCGTGACCACTCGTATCGAGGTCGCCGGTGTGCTGATCCCCACATGGCTGTACGCAGTGATGGGTCCTCACATGTCAGCTTCTTTAACCCACGCCAGCATTTGAGCAGCCTCTGAAACACCCCACCGTCTCTTTATTTCTCTCCTGCCTCACTGGTCACTTCCTCAACCAGTGCTTCTCTGGTTCTTGCCTGTCTCCTTCACCTCCTGACGCTGGAGTGCCCCAGGACACAGGCTTGGACCTCTTCTTTGTCCACAGTTATGGCCTTGGTGAGCTCACCCTTTCCTGTAGCTTCAGACGCCATCTGTATGCTAATGATTCCCAAGTAGATCTCTTGAGCTCAGACATGTCCTGGAAACACCGTATTTTTATAGCCAGCTGCCTCCTGGGCATCTCCCCCAACAGAGACGTAACCATCCAAACTCAACTCCTCATCTCCCCCACTTCCCTCACAATCTGCACCCCTCATAGTCTCCATCTCAGCCGATGCTAATGTTGCCTTCCCGGCCGCTCAGACCCCAAACCTTGAAGGCCTCCCTTTCTTCGTCCCCGTATCTAAACCGTTGAGAAATCCTCTTGGTTCTCTTTTTGAACTATACCCAGGGTCCGTTCAGTCTCAACTGTATCCACTGTTTCCCCCTTGTCCCCAACACTGTCCTCTCTCATCCGCATTACTGTGACACCTTCTTAACCTTATTCCCAGCATTCCCAAAGCCTTCTGGCAAATTCCGTCCAGTCTGGTTCCTCGTTTCCTAGGTCCGTGTTCATTTGGCTCCAGCCACTTTTCAGACACATCCAACCACCTGGGAGCCTTTGCATTTGCTGATCCTCCTCTGTGCAGTACTTTCCCCCCCAATATTCATGTGGCAACTTCCTGCGCCTCCATAAAGTCTGTCAAAATGCCAGCTGTCCTGGGTTTCCTGTTTAAAGTGGTGGCCATACCACTCCCGATGTCACTTTTTCTGCCTTGTGTTCTTCCCGTAGCACTTGTCACCTCGGGAACGACTTACAACTCCTTTAGTTATTATTGTTTACTGTCTCCATCCTTCCTGATAGAATGTGAGCACTGCAGAAGACCAAATTCTGTCTGTCTTCATGCTTGTCTCCCAAGCTCCCTGCATCCCAAGTGCCTGCCGCATGCTAGGTCCTCAATAAATATTTTTGAACAAGTAAAAACTCTAGTAATCTGACGTGAGTGTGCAAATAATTACTCTTAAGATTTTAGTTGTTATCTCTTCATTTTCCCAATTTTTTAAATATCATTTTATAGCCTTTTTACTTTTTAAAATTTTATTTTTTATTTTTCTTTAGTTTTGGTTTCAGTACCTTGTTGACTTGTTCCCATATTTTCTCAATATTCTCTTGCTGTGAGTATTTCTTTTGTGACTGTATTATGATTTATCAACTCAAGCTCCAATGTTGGGTATTAAATTATTCTTTTTTTAATCTTTCTTTTTTTAAAAAGAGAGAGAGAGTGAGTGCAAGCGGGGGAGGGGCAGAAGGAAGAGAGGGGAACAGAGGATCCAAAGCAGGTTCTGCACTGACAGCAGCAAGCCCAATGTGGAGTTCAAGCTCATGAACTGTGAGATCATGACCTGAGCTGAAGTTGAATGCTCGCTGACTGAGCCACCCAGGTGCCCCTGGATATTAAACTAGTTTAATTGCTAATTTAATCCTAGACATTTTATAAGAAACAACATTAAGGGGGCTGCCTGGGTGGCTCAGTCGGTTGAGTGTCCAACTCTTGATTTCAGCTTGGGTCATGATCTCACAGTTCATGGGATCAAGCCCCCTGTCAGGCTCCACACTGACCATGGAGCTTGCTTGAAATTCTCTCTCCCCCTCTCTCTCTGCCTCTCTCCCCCACTTATAGTCTCTCTCTTTCTCTCTCAAATAAAAAAAAAACCATAAAAAGCAACACTAAGGTATTATTTCTATATTCTACAAGAATATAGAATTTTATAGAATCCTGTATCTTAAGTTCTATAAGAAACAATACTAAAGTGAACATCCTTTTATAGAAATCTTGGTTTGCATTCTGATTATTTCCTTACAATAAATTGCTAGAAGCAGAATTACTGGACCAAAAGGTGTGAAGAAGGATCTTTAAAAAAATTATTCTTATATATTGCCAAATTGCCCTGTAGAAAAGTTTTACCAATTAACACTTCCGCCGGTGGTACATGAGACTGTCTGCTGAGTCTTGCCCATACGGACTATGTTTTTTTAAATGCCAATTTGATTTGCAAAAAAAAAAATGGTGGCCAGTTTATTTTTAATCTGTATGTCTTTGATAGCTAGTACATTTGAACGGTTTTATTTTTAGTCAACAAACACGAAAAAATGTTTTAAAAAATATCTAGTTAACAAAATGCTCAGCCTTCACGCTCCTTCAAGTTCCCCTCCCTCTGTGAAGAAGTTTCTGCCTTAGGGTGACTGGGACGAGCTCCCTCAGTTGCATTAGTGCAGGGAACAGGTGGTGAAAGTGTATACAGTTTCCATTACAAGAGGCATAAAATAGGGGCGCCTGGTGGCTCCGTCAGTTAAGCGTCCGACTTTGGCTCAGGTCGTGATCTCGTAGTTTGTGAGTTCAAGCCCCATGTTGGGATGTGCTGGCAGCTCAGAGCCTGGAGCCTGCTTTGGATTCTGTGTCTCCCTCTCTCTTTGCCTGCCTCTCTCTCTCTCTCTCTCAAAAATAAATAAAAACATTTTAAAAAGTAGAAAAACTAAAAAGCAAGAAGCATCAAAGTGAACGTGTTGACTGAGAGGAGGGAAAGCAATGCAAAAAAAAAATGATTTAGATATTAGATATATACTAGAGAAGGAGGCTGAGAAACTGAGGAATAACTGGCCAAATAAATAAGATGATCAGATGTAATCAGTGATCAGTCCTCACCTGAGTTTCTCATCAACAGCATTTGGCATCATTGAGTCTTTACTTCTGGAGCCTAAGCCTCGTTTTCCTCCTTCATTATTGGCCCCAACTTGGTCTCCTTTGCTGATTCTTCCTCATGACCCATGTCTTCAGGGTTGGATTGATTCCAAGCTGGCTCTTACTGTCTTCCCCTTTCGGTCTCTGCCCCCCTCCTAACTGAAATCATTCCACCTCCGGCTGTAAGTGCGGTCCTTATGCCAGCACATCCCGCAGCGAGAACGCCAACCTAGACCTCTCCATGGAACCATAGACTTTAAATGTCCAACTGGCTAGTGACAACTCTACACGGCTGCCTCTTGGGCATCTTAAATTTAACATGTCCAAAGTCAAGCTGCTGACCTTCCTCAGCACCCCCACCCACCCCTGCAAAACAAAAATGCGACAAGCAAAACAAAACACCTTGCTTCTACTACAGCCTTGCAGTAGCCTTCCAACTTACTTCCTCTTCTTCCTTGATAACACATAATTCAGATCATAGTCTTCCTCGGCCCAG